TGGCGTGCGCCTCAGCCATGTGGTCGAGGCGCGGCCTCGGCCTGTGGCCGAGGCGCCGCCTCGACCAGGAGGCCGAGGCTTGTGCCTTGGCCTTGGCTGAGGCGCGCCCTCAGCCAATTTTTTTTTTTTTTTTTTTTTTTTTTTGAAACAACATGGGCGGACCACAAGCACGAGATATTATTCCAAAAGATTTCAGAATGCAAAGCGGGCGGACCGCGATTTCCAAACACCAGTTCCAAACGACTACTAGAATATTATGGAAAATACTTAATCAAATGTTCCTAGCTCCATACCCGATCGATCATCCTTACAGATGGTGTGGACTTATAGATCATTTCTGCCAATCTTTTTGCATGCTTTAACGTAACAACTGCGGGCCGCTCGCTGGTCTCCTCTGACGACCCCTATCCCGCTCGGAGTGGGGAACTTCATACACAAGTGTTCCACCGACACTATGGCCTTGAGGTTCTCCAGTGCCGGTCTCCCCAATATGATGTTGTGCGCGCAAGTGAGTTTTACCACGATGAATTCCAAGTCAAGTTTGCGAATGTTAGGGCTCGTGCCTATCTCCACTGGTAAGACCACTGACCCCTCCGTCTCCACTGAATCACCCGTAAATCCAGAGAGTGGGGTACGTACTTCTTTGAGCTGGTTCCTAAGTATCCCTAACTTGGTGAAGGCATCGTAATACTTCACATTGACTGAGCTTCCCGTGTCGACTAAGATGCGGCGGATAATGACATCATTGACGTCCATCTCAATTACCAGGGCATCAAGATGGGGTAACGGGCCCTCTGGGAGGTCATCATCAGAGAAGGTGATGGCCTCCTGTCTCTGTTTCTTTTCTCTGGAAAGACTCGCCACTTCTCCCACGTATAGCTGCCGGCTCCACTTCTTTCTTTCCGCGGGCGTGTCGCCCCCTGCAGGTCCACCATAGATAAAGTGTATGGTGTGCTTCTTTTGTCGTCTGGGCGCCACCTCGGTTTCTTTCTCGCTATCACTCTGCTCAGATATTTGGTCGTGGTCTCTTTTTTTGGCGTTTGAGGTGGACGGCTCGGTGCCATCCTCATTCCTCCAGACATTTTTTGGTGGATTGTGTTGCGGCTGTTGCTGCTGCTTGGATCGCTTGACGAAATGTCGGAAGTAGCCCTGCTGGATGAGGTCTTCTATTTGTCTCTTCAAAACGTGACACTCATCCGTATCGTGTCCGGCATGCCTATGAAACCTGCAGTACTTTGTTTGGTCTGCCTTTGGGGAGACCTTCATGCACTCCTCGGGGAATTCTACCATTCCCATCTCCTCAGCTTGCTTTAGAATGACACTGACGGGATGGGTAAGAGGAGTCAAATTACGCAAGGGGACCAGGCGAGGCCGTTCGTGGTCTCGGCCTTTCCCTGCGGTCAGGTGGTTCGAGAGTGGTGCCTGGCTGGGCGGACCAGCTTTCCCAGGCTTCCCATCTTTCCTACCATCCTCTTCGTCCTTCTTCTTCCTGTCGACGTCCTCTGCTTCGGCATAGCGGCTAGCCGTCCTCATCAGATCTTCGTAATAGCGGGGTGGTGAGAGTTCAGCTGCTTGTGGAAATACCTTGATCTTAAGGCATGGATAAATATCGGGATCGCCGCCTTGGAGTCGAAGTCGTAGACATTATTGACTTCCTTTTTCCATTTGATCAGGAAGTCTTTGAGGCTCTCGCCTCTATCTTGCTTCACTACACAGAGGTGAGAGAAGGGTTTCTTGCGATGTATGCTACCGGAGAAGTATGTTAGGAAGCTCTTGGATAACTCCCCAAAGTTTTGGATCGACCCATCTGGGATGGTGTTGAACCAGTTTTGGGCCGCTCCATCCAGTGTGGACAAGAACGCTCGGCACATGATGGCGTCCCCTGCCCCGATCATTACCATAGCAGCCTTGTACCTCGTCATGTGGACACGTGGGTCAGTGGCCCCCGTATACTCCTTGATGGCGGGCAACCTAAAGTCCCTCGGCAAAGGTACGTCCATGATGCTAGGGGAGAATGGTGCTGCCATCCGTACCTCAGGTTCCGGCGACTGCTCCCGTGCCTCCACCCTTCTTGCTAACTCCTCGATTCTTCTCTGCAGCCTCTCGACCAGGGCCGACTCGTCAGGGTGCCGACGCGGGGCCGGCTGCCGCTCCTCCATGTGTCGGCGTGGAGCTAGTTCATCGACGTGCTGTCTATCTGAGTGTCGACGCAGAGCAGGTTCCTCGACGTTCCGTCCATCCAAGTGTCGGTGTGGGACCCGCTCATCAGCGCGTCGCTTCTCCACCGAGTGCCGACGCAGAGCCCGCTCATCGACGCGTCGCTCCTCCAAGTGTCGACGTAGGGCCGACTCATCAACGTGTCGGCGTGGGGTCGGCTCCCGAGACTCGCCCACCTCCTCTGTGGGTGATCTCTCGGCTTGTCTGTTCTCGTGTTGGCGAGGGCCTCTGGTAGAGGACCCCTCGGCCGGTGATCCTAATCTTTGCCGCACGGGCGCCCTCTGTCCCAATCGTTCTGGCGCAGATTGGGAAGGGCCTGGTTGTCGTCTGGCCGGTCCACTTCTTTGGGCCTCTACCCCTATTTGCTGGGGCCGCGGCGTGGGCACTTGGCCTTGCAGTCCCACCGCCACCTGATTTAGCGCCGCCATCACTGCTTGCTGAATGATATCGGCGGTCGCCTGGAGGTTCACGGCTTGGTTCACCCCCCCATTGTTGAGTTGGTCTCGAAGGTCCCCGGGCCTCCCGTTCACGACTTGGTTTACCCCTCCATTGTTGAGTTGGTCTCGAAGGTCCCCGGGCCTCCCGTTGTTGAGCTGTTCTCGGAGGTCCCCTCCGCGATTGTTGGTGAGTTGGTCCCGGAGGTCACCTGAGGCATTGCCATTGTTCACGTTGCGAGAACCGTGGGAGCTGCGGGACGCCATTCTTTCAGGCTTGCTGTTGAAAGAGAAAAAGAGTAGTGTTGTAGCCTGCTTGAGTATTGGACTCAGGCTCTCAATGAAAGCACCAATGACGGTAATAACGTTACCGGTAAATAATAATATAACAATGCTATAAGAGAATACGATAGTTGTATTGCTTTTGTCTCAGTATCGAAAGTACAATGCCTCCCCTGCTCAGCTGAGGGAAGTTCTATTTATGCTAGGTCCTAACGGTAACAACATGAAGAGTCATCATTGGGGAGCTGAGCTAACGGCAAGAATATGAAGAGTCATGAATGAGGCGTTGAGGCTTTAACTCTCTCTCATCAAAGGTGGCATCAATGGTGGCTTCAAAGACAATAAAGGTGACACCTGTTGGAATTCCTAACCGTTGGAGTTCTGCCCGTTGGGCTCCCATGTGATGCTGAGTCAATGCCCATTTGTGATCCGGGTCGGGTGCCAGCCCTATTATCCTGTCAGGGGCAATGTTATCTTCAATTAATTCAGGCTTGAATATTAACTTAATTAAGTCAAGTTGGTTGGGTCAACTAAATAATTATGTATTATTAAATGAAAAAAATTCATCATTGTTCTCTGGCTCACAAAAGACGAAATTGATCACTTGCCTTAAGGGTCTCACAACCCGATGGAATAGAAAATTTTTTCATTTTGCTTTTAAAAAATAGAGAGTATTTGGCTCTCATGTTGGAGATTTTGGATCATCAATGTTTCATTCACCAACAATTGAAGATTCATCTAGTATTGTCAGATTAAATGGGACCATAGGCTGCGTTCCACCACGTAACTAACATATTTTTAATTAAAGCTTTACAATATAAGTCATTTCTATAAACTTCCAGTTATGGTTTAGTTCTTTACCAAACTAAAACTATAATAGATGCTTTATTTTTACATTTGGTTTAATTTGTTTTTTCATTGCAAATTATTTTGATCTAGAATATGCGACGAGCACAAATGCATCAACATTTGGAGATATATATATATATATATATATATATATATATATATATATATATATATATATATATATATATATATATATATATAGATATGGAATTCTTTTGCTGGAAATGTTCACTGCAAAGCGACTCACAGATTTATTCAATGATGAATGTAGTCTTTATGAGTATGTAGCATCAGCATTGCCAGAGCAAGTGATGAAGATTGTAGACCCATTGTTTCTAACATACCTAGATAGAAACCATGGATGTATGGAATAAAATGTTGGAGAGTGATGGAAATTTGCTGAAAATTAAGGAGAGCGAGATGCATATTTTCTTTTTCTCCGTCTTCAAAATCGGGCTCTCTTGTGCTTCTACATCCCCATTGGATGGAATACTTATGAACGTAACGATGTTATCATCGAGTTACAGAAGATCAAAAAGAGCTTCTTGTATAAGAACAAGCACACACCTTCTGTTGCATGGAATATCTCCAGATTTTTGTATTGATATTGTACTTCCCATGATTCATCTTTTGTTTTGATTTGTGAATATCGTAATATCAAGTTATAAATTATTTTAACCATGTAAAATCAAAATATTTTTCAAAAAACATTTTTTAGGTTTTCAAACAGATTTTATAGAAAATATTTGTTGCTTCATATAACAAAAGATGTTGCTTCATATAACAAAAGAAGAGTCCAAAAAAAAAAGTATATAGCAGAAGAAACACAGAGCAACATTAATTAGTCCAAATAAATAACAAACTTAACATAATTGCTAGTTCACCAGCGGAAACATTGCTAGAACACAAGAGATGTATGCTTATTTTTATGCAAAGAATGTCTTCTTAATCTTGTGTAATTCCTTGGTCACATCATTCATATGCATGCGATCCATGGGTGATGTTGAAGCACAGGTGAGCCCAATTTTGAAGATGGAGAGGAAGAAGTTGTGGGTTTTGCTCTCTTCAATTTCCACCAATTTATTGCCATGAATCTCCACATCTTTGTGCGGTCTTTCACCAAAATTGCTTTCCAGGCATGCTAGAAGCAATGGATCAACAATCTTCATAACTTGCTCTGGCAACGCCATCTCCACATAGAAAGACTGCTACATTCACCATTGAATAAATCATCCGTGGGTCTCTTAGCTGTGAACATTTCCAGCAAAAGGATTCCAAAGCTATACACATCTCCAAAAGTTGATGCCTTTGCTCCTATCCCGTACTCTAAATCCAAATTATTTGTAACAACAAACAAAGCAAATAAAAATAAAATAAAATTAATAGAGCATTTTAATTCTTGGGAAAGAACTTCTTCAACATAAGATATGATATATAAATATGAATTTTTGTCATAAGCTAGCTAGTTATGGAAACAAGTGGTGAAGTTTTATGATGAAAATATTCTTACCTGGTGGAATATAACCAATTGACCCCTTTAATCCAATGGTACTAGTTTGTTCACCTATTGGATCTCCAATTGTATGTGAATAAAGTCTCGATATACCAAAGTCTCCAACATGAGCAGTTAAATCTTTGTCAAGCAGAATGTTACTTGGCTTTAGATCACAATGAATAACCGTTGGCTCACAATCATCATGGAGATAATGCAATACAGAAGCTACATCAATTGCAATGTTTAACCTTTGAAGAACACTTAGAACGGTTGTCCTTGCATTAGACGAATGTGCATGCAACCACATATCCAAATCCCCATTTTCCATGAACTCATAAACCAAAGCTTTGAATTCATTACCTGCAAAATCACAACTCGAGCAGCAAGTCAAAATTGGAACAAGATTTCGGTGGCGTATGTTCCTCAACACTTTACATTCTGCAAGAAAGCTCTTTGAAGCTCCATTTTTTAAAAGGTCAAGAACCTTCACCGCAATTGTTTGTTCTCCTCCACCTTGTTCAAATCTTCCTTTGTAAACGGAGCCAAAACTTCCCGAACCGATCAAATTTGTCTCGGAAAAACCATCAGTAGCTTGATGCAGGTCTGTATAAGGGATTTTGGAAAGCTGTTCAACTTTGGATGGCTTAGCTGACTCCAAGCTTTTTTCTTTCCTCCAACACAATGTTAGAAAAGCAATGAATGATGCAAACACCAGAGCCGGGCAGATACATGTGAAGATAACAATCATAAGCTTTAAATGGTTTGTGTGTTTTGCTTTCTTCACAGGACATGGAGGCAACTTTAGCTCAGCTATACCACCGCATAGCTTTTTGTTTCCAAGCAATGATACATTGGTTGCCACTGCAAACACTCCAACTGTTGGTACCTCCCCCACTAGATCATTGAATGAAAGGTTCAAATATTGCAAGAGAGGGAGCTTTTGGAGGTCTCTTGGTATCTCTCCCGTCAACTTATTGTTTGAGATATCCAAATGTGTAATGCTCTTTAACGAAACCAAAGAAGGTGGGACTTTACCTTCAAAGAGATTACCATGCATATCTAGATATTCAAGGCTCAAACAATCTCCAATTGTATCTGGAATTTTGCCCGACAATTTGTTTCGAGAGATGTCTAAGGCATTTAGTGTTTTCAATTTTCCCACGGCAGGAGATAACGAGCCAGTGAATGAATTACTGGAAAGGTCAAGGTACTTAGACAAAGATGGCAAATTAAAAACTTGTTCGGGAATGATGCCATCTAGTTTGTTATTGTTCATGTACCATTCATTCAAATTCCTGAAGTTTTCCACATTTGAAGGTATATTGCCATTCAAATTGTTTTTACCCAATTCAATTGCAGCTAGGGAAGTAAGGTTTAAAAGAGTGAGTGGAATTTTTCCAAACAATTGGTTATCTTTGAGACTCAAAAATTGTAGTTTATACAATTCACCTATCTCACTAGGAATAACACCTGATAATAGATTGTCTCCTATACTGAAACCAATCAAGCTAACTAGATTTTTTATTTCTTTGGGTATTGTACCAAATATCTTATTCTCTTTTAGATATAGAAAATGGAGTTTGGATGAGAGGTTAGCTATTGTGTTTGGCAATTTACCTTCAAATCTATTTTCTGAAATGGAAAAGCCATTTAAATTACTAGAATTGGACAGAGATGTTATAAAAGCCAAGTCATTGAGGGGATCATTGCTTCCAAGAAGATTTGTCTCAATGTTCAAACGTAGAAGATTTTTTAACCTTCCAATATTATCTGGAACTTTACCTACAAGATGGTTTTGTGGTACCTCAAGAATTTGAAGCTTAGAGGCGTTGGGAAATGAAATAGGGATAGTCCCATGGAATTTGTTTCCACCAAAATAAAATATTTCCAAGTTTGGCAGAGTGTCTCCTATGTAGCTTGGAATGGTCCCTTCAAGTGAGTTTTCGGATACTGAAATAGTTTGTAATGAACTCATATTGAAGAAAGAAGGAGATAGTGTACCAGTGAAATTGTTGATGGCAAGTGAAAGCAAATTTAAATCCCAACACCGCGTAATCTCATGCGGAATACGTCCCTTCAAATGATTCTTCTCCAACCCCAGCTTTTGAAGTGATGACAAATTCCCAATAGTAGGAGGAATTCCACCTGTCAATCGGTTATCATCCAGAGATAGTGCTTGTAGCTTCTTCGAATTAGGTAGGAATCGGAATGCAGTAGGGAGGTTCCCCTGGAGGCCATTTCGAGCAAAAAAGAGGTCCCTAAGGTGCACGCAGCTGCTGAGATTAAGCTTAGCCAGATCTCCCATCAGTGCATTCGCAGACAGGGAGAGATATCTTAGTCGAAACAAACCACCAATCTCTCTTGGAATTTCACCGTGCAACATATTCCTACTGAGATGAAGAACCCTGAGGAAAGTGAGATTTCCAATATGAGGAGATATGGTTCCCACCAACCCCATCTCAGGAAGCTCCAAACCCACAACTCGTCGGTGTTTGTGGCCACAACTAACTCCTTGCCAATAACAATGGTGCAAAGAGTCATTCCAGGAGTTAAGAACTACTCCTCCATTGGGATCATCATCAGAAATAATCCGGTGTTTAAACTCTAAAAGAGCAAGTCTATCAGTTTCATTTGATGAGTAGAAAGCAGCTGATGATGATGATGCAAAGGAGGAAGTGGGAATAAGAGTAACACTACATACTAAGCAAAACAGAAGAAGATGGAGGAGAGTAAAAAGAGCAGCTGATGATGAGGATGAGAAATAAAATGATGAGAGGGTTTTCTCATGCCTCATCATCATCTTCTTCATCACCTCCATAATTCAAAAAGATGGATTATTTAATTAGAGAGTGATGTGTGTTTTTCTCACAGGCTAGGGTGTATATTATATTGTTTATATAGACATGCTAATTCAAGATCGAATCTGATCTGATATGCGTACTGACGGACTAACTACACTACAATTTTATTTTACGGAGTAGCATTTGAATTCAACAGCAATCTACATCATAAATCGACAAGAGATAAAAGTACATTATTTAAAAGTACATGATTTTTTATATATTATCAAATAATATACATATGCAAATAATATATTTTTAATATGTGGTCCAATGGTACCCGGGTTGGACTTCCATTTGGAAGATTGTGAGTTCGAGCCTCAGTGTGGAGGCCTTATTAGCTCTTTGTGTTTCAGTAGGTTGAGAAAGTATATGAACAGATACTACAATGTAATAGAGCTAGTAGCATTCAAAAAAAAATATATATATATTTTTAATATATTAAAAATGTATATTATATTCATGGTCACACAGCTATGTAGATCATGGTCCACCGAATAATTTACCACTTGATACAATCGTTATGCTGTGGAACCGTGTCCACCTTGTAAGGTGAACACGATTTTATGTTTATAATAACAGAACTATATTTTTATAATTATAAAGCTATATATTCATGATTTTTCTGAACTTTATATTCACAATTATTGAATCTCTATATTCACAATTACAAAACTATATATTCATAATTATATTCACAACTCTATGTTCATAATTATAAAACTATATATTTATAATTTTTGAAATATATATTCATAATTATAAACAGTTTTGGAACCATATACACGGTTCCAAAGCATAATTTGCCCACTTGATAGGTCTGGCATGGGTTAGCGGTCAAGGTGGTTGGGACTTGGGAGGTGATTGAAATTTGGGCCAATTAACAATGCATTTTTGGAAGTAAGCTGATTAAAATAGGTTTGGGATTGATTGTCAAATTTAATAATGGGAAAAATAGGACTAAGGGGGAGGTAATTTTGGCGCAAATCAATTTATATTATGGACCAGGGTCCATATAATATTATGGACCTAAATTGAAACGATGATGTACAGAATTTATAATTATAAGCAGTGTAGCAAAACTCTCGCTTAGGCACCGATTAATCGACGCCTAAGCGTTATGCGCTAGTTAGTCACCTAGCGTATCACCGTAATCGGTGATCTAAGCAATTGGCTTACTAGGCGGTTGACTAAGCCACCTAAGCACCGCCTAGGCTTCCTAGGAAGTGTTAAAACTCTAGATTTTTTTAGGTAAATATTTAATAGTTTAGTATTAACCATTAAATCATTAATTAGTTTATAATTACCAAGTCTTAAAAATATATAAATTTTAAACAAAGTTTGAAAAAAAAAAAAAAAATACACGGGCGTCTAAGCGCTAGGTACAAAATTGATTTACTTATTTTTCAAATTTTAAGGTACAAAATTTCGATCATAAGACAAGACTCATACACATTTTATATATTTACTTATATTTCAAATATGATTTAAGTACAAAATTTGACTTCATATGCACATAATTACACAACATAAGACACAAAAATTCATAACATAAGACACAACCACTAATTTGTTTTAGGTACATAATTCATACTCGTAAAAAGTACATAATTTCATAACACAAGATACAAAAACTCACAACATAAAACGCATACACATGCACCAGGATCCACAATGCACTCATTGCACCGTGAACCTTGGTCAATGGTATAAGACTATAAGAATTGCTTGTGAACTGTTCACCTTAGAATTTTCTAACAAGTTGTTGTTCTACTTCTAATCAAATTGAGAAATTTTAAATTAGATCAAGTCTTAGTGGAGGTGTTATTGACTCATTGTGCGTCATTAGGTTAAAAAAGTATGTTTGAACTTTGAACAGATACTACAATGTAATAGAGTCACTAGCATTCAAAAAATAAAAAATAAAAAATTAGACAAAATATGTGAATTTGTGTATAATTTTGTTTTTTGAATTTGGATCGATCAACATTATAATTCAAAAAAAAATAGACAAAATATGTGAATTTGTGTATAATTTTGTTTTTTGAATTTGGATCGATCAACATTATAATTAATCAAAATTATAGTTAGTGGTGTTTTTTCTAAAGGCTACTAACTTTATTACAATGTAATATTAGTATCTGTTCAAACACAAAGTAAGGCTTGAATTCACAACCTCTCATTTGAGAGTCCAACCCGGGTGCCATTAGATCACAAGGTCGAGATTTGATTACCCATTCAATTAAAAATATCATTCTCTAATTAAAAGGGGTACCATTCTATCTTATTGGTAATATAATGTTTAAGTTTGGGTTAATACTATTAGATTTTTGTTTTGATTTTTTTTTTGTTTTTATATTTTTAAAACATTTATTCCCATTATAGGTCATACACAATCAAACATCAAAATTGGTAATCATTCCAATTCCACCCTACTACCAAACATATAAAATAATTTTACTAAAATCATTACCATTATATTATAAAGTATTTAATTTCCATTCCGATTTTGATTATATGAGCAAACCAAACACACCTTAACAATTCTTTTCTTTTGTCTATGTCAGGTCATCAGGTTGTATCAAGTGGTACTATACCTTGATTTACAAGAATGTCTACAATCTTTATCTGAGGTGCATTTTATGTGAAGTCCAGCCCCAGGAGGTAATCTAATCTAGGTTGCCAATGGTTAACTGGCTTAAATCAAGAAAATCAATAGATAGTTCTCATAAGGAGTTAAACTTAGAATCTTGTGATTATCAAACTAATTTGGTTGGAGTTGCCCCTATCAATAGGACTTGATATTATTGGTGAGATGTTCTATGTTGTGTATACAGTGGTTCTCCACTTCTCCCCTTATATTTTATTTTCAATATTATTGGTTAATAAGATGGGATTGGACTCCATACTAATGAAAAAACGTCCTACGTTTTGTATGACGTGGTTCTTCACTCCTTTCACTTTTTTTTTGAAAGCCAACCAACTTAAATTGCATTAGTCATTCTAGGCTCAAGAAAAGCAGGAGGAATATCCCTCCAAAGAGAACGTGCCAAAGAGGCAGATACATACTTAGCCATATCATGGGCAGCCTGTATAGCATCCCTGCGAGGAAAACCTCCTTTCACTTAATCACTCTTTTCAGGTTCTGTCAAAATTCTCATCTTGTTATTTTCAAGCTAAGTTATTGCCTAGGGCCCCATTAGGATAAGAATATTTGCTCAAAGTTGAATTGGTCACGCACGCTAGCGTATGACGGACTTACTACACTACAATTCAAGAGCAGTCTACATCATAAATCGACAAGAGATAATACTTGATAGGGTCTAGTCAGCGGTCAAGGTGGTTAATTGGGAGGTGATTGAAATTTGGGCCAATTAATACAATGGTCCAAATTGACAGGGATAGATTATAAGCTATGTTTGATAGACATCAATAGTTATGCTGTGCAACTGAATGCACCATGCGCATGGTGCATATGATGCAAAACGACGTAGTTTTGATTAAAAACGCGCATCTCACTTTAAAAAAAAAAAAAAATCAAGTTCGATTCTCGGCAATATTATTGTGGATATATAGTTATGAATTTCTGGATATATAATTATGAATTTGTGGATATATACTTATGAATTTATGGATATTTAGTTAATTCATTGTGGATATTTAGTTCATTATATTCATTGTAGATATTTACTTCATTCATTCACTGTGGATATATAGTTATGAATTTATGGATATTTAGTTCATTCATTGTGGATATTTAGTTCATTCATTGTAGATATTTACTTCATTCATTCACTGTGGATTTAGTTCATTCATTGTGGATTTTTACTTCATTCATTCACTGTGGATATATAGTTATGAATTTGTGGATATATAGTTATGAATTTATGGATATATAAAAATGCTATTGCCGGGAATCGAACCTGATTTCTTCTTTAAGTGGGACGCACGTTTTTTTAACCAAAACGACGTCGTTTTGCATCGAATGCACCATGCGCATGGTGCATTCGATTGCACAGCATAATTTGCGGATAGACATAGCTAAAAGCTGAATAAGTAACTGAAAAGCTATAAGATAGAAGCTGAAAATTGAAGAGTTGCATGTTAAGCTAGCTGATTATATTTAAAAGTGTTAGATAAAATTAATTTTTTGATAAGTTGATAAATGTAAAAAGACTAAAACGAACATGTTCATAAAATTTAAATAGTTTTAAATTTATATAGGTTTGTTTACATATTAAAATTTAACATTTTGAAATGAAACTATTAGCATAATCATGATCTAGTATCTCATAATAATGAAGTAGCAATACTGTTGCAAATCTCCTTCATCTCAATATAATAGAGGTCTCACTTAAATTTTCATTGATGAAGATATTACTACTTGAATCTTGGAGTTCATCGCGCAATACGTAATCTGGATGCTGCTCAAGCATATTAAAAATCATGTCATCTTGTATATTTCATTGGAGGATCAATGGACTTATGAACGGACGATTGGAGTTAGAACTTTAAGGAGTTGCTGGGCGGTGAATAGTTGCGGAAGAAAATGAATAAAAATATAGGAGAAGAGAAAAGACCAAAAGGATTTAATTCGGAGGGGTAAATGATGTCAAGATCATTTATTTAAAATAATAAGGATAAAG